ATCTATCTATCTATCTATCTATCTATCTATCTATCTATCTATCTATCTAATCTATCATCTATCTAAAACATAAAAGTGATCGTTGTGACCATTTTTAAGTGTATAGTTTACTGGCGTTAAGTACATTCACATTGTTGCACAATCACTACTACCTGTCTCCAGAACTTTTCATCAACCCAAACTGAAACTCCATATCCATTAAACAATAACTCATCATTTTTTTCTATCTGGTAGCCACTCTCCTACTTTCTATCTCTATGAATTTACCTATTGAATTATTCTTTATGTATCATGTGAGATAGAAGGGAGGGCTCATTTTTTTCCCCCGTATCAATACTTAGTTTTTTGCACTCCTTCCACCTTGCCAATTTTTACTAAAAAGTGTCCGTTGGGATTTTGGTTGAGATGGCATTGACTCTGTAGACCAATCTGAGGATGATTGAAAAGCATTGAGACTTGTGATCTATAAACAGGGGTAAATCTCTTATCTAGGTCTCCTCTAATTTTTCTCTGTAGGTTCTTGCATTTTTCTATGCAAGCAATATGCACATCTCTCATTAAATGTATTCTTTCTTTTTGTTCTCTGACAGTATTCTAAATGGTATTTTTTAAGCTTCATTTTTGATTGCTTATTTCCAGGCAACTTTAAATCTTCAAATAAGCCTCCTTTAAGTACATGGTAAAGCATAGTTGAGGGTATTGGGAAACCATATCTTATACACATGCCTGGCACTTGAAAACCATTTCCTGGCCTATTTGGAGTAGCTATAATATGTTGTTATTGTTGCTGTTGTTGTTGTTGTTGTTGTTGTTTTTAATGTGGAATGAGAGAATGGAGAAGTTAGATGGTATTTCTAGGGTAACATGTTACTCTAGCAACAGGGTCAAAAAGAATCCAGAGTTGCTGACACCCTGTCCAGGGTTCTCATGGGAGGTAGTTATGAAAATATCACTTTAAGTAATACTAATAAAACTGCCAACAGAGACATAGTATTTATTTGCAGTTGGAAAGGACTGAATTATACTTTCAATTATACTTATAAAGAGGTATAACATTTTCTATTATAAATATCCATAATATTTAAAGGTCATTGTGACACAAGGTTCTTGGTTGAACACAGAAATGCATTCACAGGCCCATTATCACCAGGAGCTCTAACATCAGTGGTTTCATGTTCAAGAGAACATTTTGAAACCTCTTTTACAAGAATTGTAAAAAAAATGGGATTGATTAATTGTGTACTACTTAACCTTATTCATGTTGTTATTTCTAAAATTCATTGTCAAAAAGTAAGTAATATAAGCGTCTTGCATGATTTATCAGCAATCTTTTGTTTATTAAATGAATCATAATATTTTATAAGTTATAATTAATGATGTATAATCATAAAGAAATTTTGCTTTCCAGTGTCTCCATATACATTCCATAGGAGCTAGATCTTCAATCCCAGATTTTGGCCAGTTCCGATATATTCCTGTACAATATAAATAGTTTGTTAGCCTCTTTGAATTAAAAACAAAAAACCAAAAACCACCATCTCAACTATGAAAATAGTCCAATTCTATTTAATAATGAAAACTGACTTTAATTTAACATAAGATCTTTGCTCACCATCCCAGCTGAAATCTATTTCAGCAAAAGACACATTGAAAGAGGGCGTGGCAAGCTTCCCCATCTGGCCCTTTCACATCCTTCCTCCGGGAGCTGGCTAAAAGTGGTTTCTGGTGCTAGAGGTAGGATCCAAGGAGAGGAAGATGTGTGTGGACAGAGCGGAGAAAAGGGAAGCAGGGACGTTCTAACTACTTGATACTCTTATCAAATGGCATCCTCATTTTCTGAGATTTGCAGATATTTAACCCTGCCTTTCTCTTCTGAATATGTTTGTGTCTTTTTTCTGAGAATCCTGGATATCATGCAATCTCCTTCGATATAGGTGACTGCATCTTCATGCAGATTAATATGAAGCCTTCAATATCTGTTCTTTAGCTTCCCTCTGCTCCACTCCGTTACTTTCTAGCAGCCCTCTTCTATAGCATCTAAGTCAATCTCCCTGTAAGAAAACACATTTATAGGGCGTGGGAATTAAAGACAAGGGCATCTTTGAGGGGCCATTATTCAGTCTCTCACACATATCAAATTCATTTTAAGACAATTGCAGAACTGACAAGTGGTTCTTTTATAGACACATATGCCTTCTCTTTATTTTTTCTGATTAATATTGTTCTGATACTTATGTTAATACTGCTGTTCATTTATTAAAAATATGTACTTAGTATTTATTACAGGCAAATGTTATAACCTAAAGGTAAAGATATGAATATGTTCTGCAGTTTATTTTTTAATAAACTTACACTCAAATATGTTTAGCTAGTGTGAAAAATTGTAAGGCAAATGAATAATAATTTAAAAAACAATCCATCTGGGACAAAGGAATCATCTACACTGAAAGTTTTGAGCCAAATTGCTTTGTGTTAAAGATAC